GCTTGCTTCCCTCGCAGGCTTGCTTCCTATCCACCCCATCCTACCTTCTTCCTATCCACCCCATCCTACCTTCTTCCTTCCATGCAGGCTTGCTTTCCTCGCCCTGCAACCTCTTCTACTGCAGCTCCCTCGCCGCTTGCCGGTGCTGTCCCCGCCGCACCCCCATGCGGCCCGGGCGTAGAGTCAGTTGCGCCCCTTCTCCGGGACCTGCGCCGACTTACTCGGCCGTAGCACATGCCTCTGCTCCTCGATCCCCTTGTCGCCAAAACGGTGGCGCGCCACTCGTTCGCTTGATGGACATTGCCTTGTACGACGGTACAGGGATACGCGTGTCTCGGTGGCTGCAGTCTGGGCGCCTGCTCATGCTCATGCTCCAGCTCATGGGCGCCCCACCCGACACGTGGGTGGCTCACCTCTCCACGCGCCTGCGTGGCGGTCCTTTCGACGCCTGGGAGGATTTCTACTCGCACTCCCTTCCTGAGGGTCGGACCTCGATCTTCATGGATTTCTAGGCGTTCCTCGAGGATCGCTTTGGAGCCCAACATGACGTCACTGACGCCTTCAAGCGTGTCATCAACACACGCTGGTCCGGCTCTGGTGGCGATGCCGGCCTGAACCGCCACATCCAGGTCTTTCAGGACGCCCGCCTCATTTGTGATGTGGCGTTCCTCCCCGAGGCTGCCCTCATCGATCGTTTCTTGGCCAACCTTCCCCTTGAGTACCGAACCGAATTATGGCGGTACGAGTTCACATCGGCCCCGCAGGCTTACGAGGCCGCCAGGACCCATCAACTGATGCGGGCCTATCTTCACCCCGCTCCCTCCTCCTCTCACGACACTTCCCAGCGCCGTTCCCCTTTTCGCGGCCGCCCCCGCCGTTCCGCGCAGCTGGGCCGCCCCCGCCGTTCCGCGCAGCAGGGCCGCCCCCGCCGTTCCGCGCAGCAGGGCCGCCACTTCTCTCGCCGCTTCAGCGCGCTCGAGTATGGTGAGCAAGACGTTGTTGCCCCGCTGTTGCCTGAGGGTGACCACAGTGACGACCTCGACCTCTTACGAGGCCGTCCACTACCACTTGGAGGACTCTACCCTCCCTATAGCCGAGTGCCTCCAGCTCGCCCTCTCCACCCTCTCTCGGGCACGCAGCCGCCCTGGTCACGCTGGCTCGTCGCCCCCCGAGGTCCCTCAGCAGGAACTCCCTAAGGGCTTTGTCCCTCCTCGCGGTGCCCTTTCCGACGAGGAGTGTGCGGCCATTTTGGGCCGGCGTGGATATTTGCGATGCCGCCAGGACGGTCATACCTCCTCACGGTGTCCTTACACCGCCACCCTCGACCGCCAACGTCGTGCTCAGTCCCCCCCCGGCGCCTCGCATCCGCTGCGCCTCCTAGCCACGGTGCAGTGTACACCTGCGCCCTCCTCAGAAGTTGGCTTCCCGACATCTCCGTCGCGGTTCGCCCCTCTCGCTACTGGAGCTGAGGTATCGCAGGACCCGACAGAGTGTACTCAGCCCTCTGTCGCGGTACCATCTGTGCCTCCGCAGACAACCGTCTCCCCTCCTACCCCTACCGACGGGTCGAGCCATTCGCTCAGCCCGTTTCAGCGAGCAGCTTGCGACTCGCGAGGACATTGTGTCCTCTCTTCTGGACTTGAGCATGCTCCAAGCTCGTTAGGAGCGACTCACCCTCCATGTTGCTGCACTGTGTTGCCTTCTCGCCATCCTCTCTGACCCTGATCGCACCCTCCCGATCATTCCAGTACGATTGGGGACCTCCACGAGGGTGTACTCAGCGCTGTGGGATTTCGGTTCTCAGGGGGACTTCATTCACCCACGTGTGGTGAAAGAAGCCCGCTTACCCACGACAGGGTCTCCGACTCCCATCTCTATCACCCTAGGGGATGACAAGACCCAACGCTTCTTTGATCAGACGGTCACTGACCTCCATTTCTTCCTCACTCTCGAGCCGACTGTTCGTCCCCCGACGTCTCGTCTCCACCGCTCCTATGCACATTTCGATGTGATGGAGACGGGGTACGACTTCATTCTCGGTATTCCGTGGTCTCGTCGGTTCTTCAACACCGAGGCCGACTGGGCGACCAACACTCTCGTTCTCAAAACGAAGTGTGGACAGACGTATAGCGTACCTTTCATAGGTACCACCGCGACACCACATCCCGACCCTCCTCCCCGGAGCCTTCCGTGCCCATACCATCTCCTACTATCACCGTCACATCGCCTCGGGAGTTCGCTCACTTCATCTGACAGGACGACGTGACCTTCTTCACGGTGAACGTTACAGATCTCTTGCACTATGATCCACCCTATTCCGACGCCAAGCTCATCTCTCTGGAGCCAGATCCTCCCTCTATCTTCATGGATCCTATCTCTACTTCCCTCCCTCTGCCGTCCGTCGAGTCCACCCCGCCGTCGCGCGCTGACGCTGACGCTGAGGAACTTGCACGCTACGACCGACCTGGAGCCCGCAGTTCGTGACCTCATTCGAGAGTACCAACGACGTTTTCCCACTGTCGTTCTCGTACGCCGGCATTCCACCGATGTGAGATGTCGAGCACTCCATCCAGCTTGTGTCTGACTATCGTGTTCACCACCAGACACCCTACAGACTCTCGATCCCCGAGGCCACCGAACTCGAGCGTCGGCTTGAGGAGCTCCTGAGACTGGGTTTCATTAAACCCAGCAACTCCCCATGGGGTGCACCCGTCCTCTTCGCTCACAAAGCGGATGGAACTCTCTGTCTCTGCATCAACAATCACGGTCTCAACCGCTACACRGTTAAGAACAGTTACCCCATGCCTCGTTCCGACGAGCTGTTCGACCACCTAGCAGGCAACCGCTTCTTTACGAAGATCAATCTTCGTAGCGGTTACCATCAGATCCGAGTCGCTGCAGCGGACTAGCCGAAGACAGCGTTCCGATCGCGCTTCGGCCATTACAAGTTTACAGTGATGCCAATCGGCCTCACCAATGCACCCGCTACCTTCCAGAGGGCGATGAACATCTTCAGGGACATCCTGGAGCAGTACGTTCTAAGTCTACCTCGACGATTTCCTGATCTACGGTCGTACCCTTCAGGAGCATCTCAGACACCTCCGCGGCGTCCTTGACCGCTTGCGCAGACATGGCTCCTACGCCAAGCTGAGCAAGTGATCCTTTGCCCAGCACAAAGTGGATTTCTTAGGACACTACGTGTCTGACCAGGGTCTCCACATGGACGGCGCGAAGATCACTGCTATTGCGGAGTGGCCCGTCCCCACATCCGCCAAGCAGCTTCGAAGTTTCCTAGGCCTCACTAACTACTATAATAATTTCATCCAGGGATACGCTAGGTATTCCTACGTCCTTACCTCCACCCTCCTCCGGAAGAACCCGCCATGGGCTTGGACACCCCTCCACGAGGACGCCTTCTGCGCCCTCAAGAAGGTGGTGACATGTGCACCGGTTCTTCACCTACTCGATTTTGATCGCCCTTTTATCCTTACCACCGATGCGTCAGACTTTGCTGTACGAGCAGTGCTTTCTCATATTTTCCCCTCCTCTCCTGATTCCTCTCATCCTCGTATCCCTCGCTTCCCACCCCCTACCCCTACCACTGCTTCCCGACTGACGCCTACTCGTCCAGCTACTGACGAGCCTTCTATTGACTATTCTCCTACCATCGCCGAGGACGGCACTGTCGAGTCTCGCTCAGGTGATTGTCCGATAGCCTTCTACTCCCGTCACCTCCTGCCCGCCGAGATAAACTACACCGCTGATGAATGTGAGGTTCTCGCAGTAGTTTATACCGCTCGGCACTGGCGTCACTACCTGCACAGGGCACCATTCACAGTGCGCACGGACAACTCTGTTGTCCAGGCTTTTCTGACAAAGCCGAAGCTCACTCCTCGATAGGCTCGCTGGTGGCGCGACCTATCCGAGTTTAGTTTCACCACTGAGCACATCAAGGGTGAGACTAATCGGGTCGCAAATGCCTTATTCCGACGCCCTGACCATGATCAGGAGCACATTCAACTCGTTGCCATCTTGGTCACCACCGTCCACCACTCGGTGATCGACGAGTTTCGCACTCAGTACCGCCACTACGCCGACTATCGCGACATCGATGCGACCCTTCAGAGTAGCAAGACCGTCCCGAACTACTCTCTTGGGGACAACGGTCTTGTGTACTGGCACGGTTCACAGGGCACCAGAGAGCCCCTTATTTGCGTTCCCTCCACTGGACAGCTACGTGTCCGGGCAGTAGCAGAGTTCCATGACCAGGCAGCCGCCAGTCATATGGGCTTCCACTAGACGTTGGCTCATGTGAGCCGCCTGTATGTCTGGCCGAAGTGCAAGGACTTTGTGAAGGACTACGTCGCAGAGCATCCCACCTGTTAGGAGTTGAACAACGCGAACCACCTACCTTATAGTTTGCTCCAGCCTCTTCCTATTCCTGAGTGTTGTTGGCAGTCCATCTCGATGGACTTTATCGGTCCTCTTCGTCCTCCGACCCCCCGTGGTCATGATGCTATCCTGGTCGTCGTCGACCACTTCACGAAGCGTGCACGCTTTGTTCCGTGCCGCTATGCCACCAGTGCATGTGAGTTCGCCGACATCGTGTTTGACCGAGTCGTGCGTGACCACGACTTACCTCTGAGCATCATATCTTACCGTGACCCGCACTTTACCAGCCGATTCTGGCGACGGCTCCATGAGGTTTACGGCACCCAGCTCCGCTTCTCCTCATCTTACCATCCCTAGACTGATGGTTAGACCGAGGTCACGAACAGGACTCTCAGAGACATTCTCTGAAAGATTGTTCATGACGACCAGCAGTGGGATCTCAATCTTGCCCACGCGGAGATAGCCTACAACCACGCCGTCTCGTCAGCCACGGGGATGTCGCCTTACTATTGTGACCTCGGCTATCACCCTCGTGTTCCCGCAGACTTCCTTCGACCGTCACAGATGCACCCGACACGAGTTGTCCCGCGCTGGATGATTGGGTTGCACACATGACGTCGATCATGAAGACCGCGCATGAGCACATAGCCACTTCCCAGACTCGCATGGCCGCACGTGTGAACCGATCGAGGATGGATCATCCATTCAAAGTCGGTGATGATGTGCTTATCGACGCCCACCACTTACAGCTCGAAGCGGACACGCTTCACAAGTTTCGACGTTGCTTCTTTGGCCCATGCCGCATTCTCCAGGTCGTCGGTTCTGATACGGCTTCTAGCCCTGTCAGCTTCCGTGTGAAGCTGCCCGACTACCTACACCAGGCTCGTGTGCACGATGTCTACCACGTCTCGTTACTGCGTCCCTACCACAGACCATCTGAGCATTTCGTTGGACGACCATACAAGCGCCCTCCACCCATCATGGTGGACGGCCACGAGGAGTTCCTCGTTTCATACATCATTGGTCGTCGAGTGACTGACGACACCCCTCCCCATGTCAAGTATCTCGTACGTTAGAAGGGTTACCCTGATGAGGAGGCTACTTGGGAGCCCCTCCAGCACTCGTAGCACGCTCGCATGTTGGTGCGTGCCTATGACCGTGCTCATTGTGCTGGGTTGACTGCTCCTCCTCAACCCACTGACCCTGTTTCTCCCTCGGCTGAGGAGACCGCTGAAGTCGAGCCTGCTCCATCTGAGGAAGACCTTCAGCAGCAGCCGGATGCTTCTGAGCGTCCACAGCGCACTCGTAGTCGTCCTACTCGATACGACGATTGACTTTGGCTTATCTTCCCACGTCTTTGACTTCTCAGTACTCCATCCACTCCAGTTTTGCCACTTCAGCTCGTCGACGTTTTGACTCTTCCTCGACGACATTGCGAACTTCTCATCATGGACGTCATTGACAGCTTCATGGACTTCGTCACGATCAGCTCTGCCTACTTTAGATGTCGTCGCTCTCTTACCACCTTACCCTGTACAGTACCCTGGTTGTGTCGCATGATGGTCTCCCTTCGCCGGGTTCCTCTGAGTTGGGCTCTCCCTTGGCATACGCATAGGCATCGGGACTGTAGCATTGCCTTAGCTTCCCAGCTTACGGATCCAGCTCCGACTTCCCCCACCTTAGGAGTCGTTTGCATGATTCCCTTACCCATCACTTTTTCTACCCTCTTCCGGCTCTCACGCCCTAGTTAGGCAGCCTCGCATGCTTCATCTAGGTGCACCCGGTATACCAGGCTCCCTTGTTCCCTTGCATGGTCGACCCTCCATAGCGGTCACCCCTTTAGTCGAGCATTACCCGCCCTGATGGTCTATCTGTTAGGGTCATTGATTATGTTCGCTCCCACTTCCCTACCCTTATTGAGCCTGATGACATGTGCCTCCCTGTGATTTTGTGTGGATGCCCTTAGGAGTTATCGACCCCTAGGCTGCATTCGCCACCCTCAAAGACCATCCCACCTTTTGGTTTGCAACACACTCCTCCTGCGACATATGGTTGTCTTGTTGTTGCTTTGTTGCTCTCAGATTGACGCTACTGCCTCTGACATTTCTAGGATTTAGTTGTTCTGCTTTTGCTGTTCTTAGGACTTATACACTAGTCAGTTGTTTCCAGCCTGAGGCAACTGCCTCCAACATTCTAGGATCTAGTTGTCATTACTTTCTGCTTTCCTAGGACATGTATCCTAGTTAGTTGCTTCTACTTTCAATTAGGCTGTTAGCTGTGACATTGCTATTTTTGTGACATTTTCTATCCTAGGTTGCATCGCATGGACTCAGCATGGAGCTTGCTCTGCATCCTAGACTACTCGGGTTTTCTTTTTCTTTGGTAGAGTTCCGCTTCTTGGCGGAAGCGTGCTTGTATCTAGGCGATCCATCACAGGTCGAGGATCGTCTAGCGGACCTCTAGTTGGCCTGTGAGACCAGCCCCTCGGCCTGTTCTCACAGACCTGTGTTGTATTCGGGGTAGTCCAGTCCAGGCCGGTACCTCTGTCGGTACCAGCCAATCCAGTCCAGTCCACTCAGTACGCTGGGGTATACCCCAACTTTTGTCTGTTTGTGAGATCATTCTACATTCGCACATCTTGGAGTACGTGCGTTGGAGTCTAGCATGGGAGCTGCGCTGTCCCATCTCGCTCCCCCTTCATCCTCCATCTCCACCTCCTTGGTCGAAGCCAATTCCGATGGGCAACGGACAACAATCCGTTGGTCTTTTACAAGACCCAAGACACCGTCAACAGCACCATCGCTCAATGGATGGCTTTCATCGACCAGTTCGACTTCTTTCCCGATCACATTCTGCGGTTAGCCGACTTCGCGAGCCATTTTGGTGGTCCGGCCTTCTCGGCGACGTCACACGCTATTGCGAGTCATGCGAGGTTTGTCGACGCTGCAAATCCCGCAACCATCGTCCGTACGGCGAGTTGCGACCATTACCGGCCCCCTTGCGGCGAAGGGAAGCGATAGCCATGGACATTACCCAAGCACAAGACCAGTGTGGATGAGATTTTCACGGTGGTCGACCGACTCACCAAGTTTGCCATGTTTTTGCCTTGTCGCTATCATGCCAAGGCACCGGAGTTGGCCGAGGTTCTTTACGCCAGCTGGATTCGAACCAAGGGTTACCCCAAGGAAATCGTCTGCGACCGCGACACGCGGTTCATGTCCGATTTTTGGTTGGTGCTCATCAAACGATGGGGCTCATCTCTCAAGCCAAGTTCAGCTCGCCACCCCTAAACCGATGGCCAAACGGAGAGGGCGCATCAGACCGCACAGCTTCTTCGCACTCTCATCCGCCCCGACCAAAAGGATTGGGTTGAGCGGCTGCCAGATGTCGAGTTGGCCTACAACTCGTCCATCCACCCAGCTATCGGGATGTCGCCCTTCGAGTTCGAGCACGGCTCGCCGGTCACTTCGCCGTTGGACACAATCATTCCACGAACGGCCGAGAGCGACGACCATCTTCTTTTCTTGCGTCGAATGCAAGAGCTACTTGACAAAGCATGCGACCAGATGGCCAAGACGCAGCAACGCATGAGCCAACAAGCCAATATCCAGCGTCTTCCTTGCCCATTCCGAGCCGGCGATCTCGTTTGGGTTTCCGCCGCGGAATTCAACCTTGAACAAGACATCTCTCGCAAGCTCCTCCCGAAATGGATGGGGCCCTAGCCGATCGTGGCACCCGTTGGGAATGCACCCGAGGGACCTTCCTTCACTATTCAGGTGCCCGACCACTTGCCCGTCTACCCAGTCTTTCATTGCTCCGAGTTGGCTCTTTACACGCCAGCGGAACATGACAATTTTCCCGGGCGGCGTTCGCAAGACCCACCCTCTATGGACAGTTTTCAGGAGGTCGGCGACATCATCTCCCAGCGACGCTACGACAACAGGCCAACCGAGTACTTGGTACATTTTGCGTACTGCACTCACAAAGCTGACCGTTGGTTGACCCGTGCAGAACTCCAAGCAACAACTTCAAATGTTCTCGCACGCCACGAACGAAAAATGCAAGGCAAGCCGGTATCTTCGGCTCCACGTCGCACCTGCGTCCAGGTTCCACCTTCAGATCATCTGCTTCGCCCTCGACCCGGCTCGACTTCATAAGGGAGGGGGGGTGTTACATGCTGCGCTTGCAACAGGCTGCACGGGCCATTTCCAGGCCCGTGACGTTTTCAGGCCAAAAGCCTGAAAACAAGGGCCTACAGGCCCCGTGTCGTTTCAGCCTGAAAGCCTGAAAACAAGGGCCTACAGGCCCTGTGTCGTTTCACGCTAAATCAGGGCCTTTCCGGCCCTGAGTGTTTTCAGCCTGAAATTGAGGGCCATTTTCGGGCCCTCATCGGTTCGACCTGCCCTGAAACTCGGGCAACAAACCAGGGTTTTAGCACAGGCCATTTCGGGCCTG